AAATATGGAAAGAGAAAGGACTGCGGCTCGCGAAGAGCATGAAAAGAGAGGAGAGGAGAGGGAGATGGAAAAGCAGAGGAAAATCGCGTCATTAGCATGGAACTGCGACTCGCCCCGCTACGTGCTGCAATTTTCCTCGCCGAGACCGGCCTCGTCGAGATCTCAGGAGATGCTTGCGGACTTCCAAGTCGCGCAACGTGTCGGATGCATACGTGTTGCGAATCAACCGAAAATTCGCCTCCCCCCGACGACTTTCTTTCGCCGCAGCATATATTAAGTCCGCGCGCGGCATACGTGCCTCGATCTACAAAATGCTTTATCTTAATTCGTCGCGTCCCACATACGTAACTATCCGTTTCAAAACTACCACCTACGACGACAATCGGATCGTCGCCAGTGGGGCCAGATGACATTTTTTAGTTGAAAATTCTCTAGAGACCTGGATTTCCAACCGATCATCGACACCAATGAATGGGTCAATTGATCCTGAATAAATTCCGAAGAGATCTATCTAGCCGAAATTTTGAAAAAATTATCGGTTCAAGGGTTCATGGGTTTAGGGTTAAAAATTTTGTCTTAAAAGTTTCGAGGCTCGAACTTAATGTTTTATAGCTGAATATTCAATGTCGAGTATTATTAGATTCTCGAGCTATGGCTAGATTGAGTTCCTGGACTATTTGGGGCTCTTAATATATACGGCTTCATGCATCCACGAGCTAAAAAGTTCTCGGATTGATAGATTCCTAGGTTGATGGGCTTAAGACTCAAAATACCTCGGTTTTATGCTTAACATATATTTGATGTTTTTGTATTTTGGGCATATGAGTTTTAGGTTAATGGGTTTCTGCTTCAAAATCGATAAATCTCGAGGTGTCTGTTGATTGGTTTCATAGTTTCAATCTGCTGAATACGCTATTAGATAGAAATAAGTGTCGAATAATGAGTATTTCACAAGTTTCTCGCGTTTAACGATAATTTTTCCTCTTTTGGGGCTAGTAATTTGAGAAAAAAATTTTTTTTTTATTTTGGCAAGACAGATCTCTTCAGAATTTATTCAAGATCCACCTCATCTATTGGTGTCGATGATCGGTTGAAAATTCAGGTCTCTAGAGAATTTTCAACCAAAGATATCATCTGGCCCCACTGTGCGCCGTCTCGACCCGACACGCGAACTTTTCGTCGATTCCGTGATGAAATCGTCGCCGCTGCGAGACATGTGTGCACACCTCAATTGTCATTGCTCGCGTTGTTCCTCGGAACTGCTTTTCGGCAGCTCCTCTCTTATTCACGCGACCTGCACCAAGAACAAAAATTTTGGTGTGGGTTAATGAAACCGCAACAAATAGTTTGTTAATGTGGAAAAGCAAATGATTCCGTTGTGGTAACAAATGATTTGTTACTTACGATTTCTTGCTCTAACCGACGATTTTATAGTAGGAACAAACAAAATATTATTATGTTGATCCAACAGATCATAAATTTTTTATTTATTGGCAACACAGAATATGTGAACAAAAGTTATCATATCAAGCAAATCAGTTGCATTAACCCTTCTTCATCAACGTATAATATGTGGCAAAATACGTAAAATACTTGACGAAACCATACATGCAATATTACACTAGCACGTATCATAATTATCAGATGATTCAAACATAGCTCCGTTACATCTGATCAAATATTGGTAGAGAAAGGTTAACAAAATAATAATTCTGCCTGTGTGTGTGTTTTACAGGAATTCGGAGAGAGAAATAAAACAACGCGTTACTGCATTGATTTTTAGTTTTAGCACGACACATTATAAAAATGAATAAACTATTAGGAAAAGTTAAGTAAAATTAAGGGAGCATGTACATATAAAAGCGCGTGTTGCAAATATACTTTTATCAATAAAAAAAATCTGTAAAAGTGTTTCGTAGCTACTTAAAAAAACTCATAAATCTTACCTATACATGAGAGTTCAGAATATGGATTACTGAAAAGTCGCGTACGTGTATACTAGGTGTCCAGGATTTTTTGGAAACGAAAAATTGTGAAGATTAATTGAATCAAACTGAAAAGTCAAGTACCATTTAGCAAAAATCGCAATAGTTATTAAGTTATTAGTAATTGATTGAAAATGATCACATCTGGAGGCTCTTTTAATTGATAACTTGAAAATTTGCGCACTTATTTGCAAAATGGTAAAGGACTTCTTTGTTCAGAATGACCTAATCTACAATTATATGACAGCTATTGTGTCTAACGATAGATATGAGTATATTAAACTTGTCGCTAGGCACAATAGCCGTCATATAAAATGTAGATTAGATCACTCCGAACAACAAAGTCTTTTACCATTTTGTAAATGAGTACGCAAATTTTCAAGTTATCAATGAAAAGAGCCTCTAGATGTAATCATTTCTAATCATTAATAACTCAATAACTATTGCGATTTTTGCAAAATGATATTTTTCTTCTCAGTTTGATTTGACTAATCTTCCCAATTTTTCCTTTCCAAAAGATTCCACACATCCTGTATATATTACGCTATTATGACCTGTTGCTATCCTTTCTATTAGAAATTGTACATCCAACAAACATATATGATTTGCATCTCCAGCAATGTTAAAATTACAATACTTGTTAAAATTAAATAATTTTGATACTTGATAAAATAAAACAATACTTGTTACAAATAACGAAAAATGATTTGTTGGTGTAATTGTTTGATTTGTTCTCTGTACACTGAGAAAAAACTGTATTACAATTAAACAAATATTTGTTCGAATACGACTGTGAATACATTTGTTCAAATTAAGCGACTAATTTCTAAAATGAAAGCGACTAATTTCTAAAATTTCTAAAATGAAATACAGAGGTTCTCTCTCTCTCTCTCTCTCTCTCTCTCTCTCTCTCTCTCTCTCTCTCTCTCTCTCTGAATGTAAACTTTTTTCTTGAGTTTTAGAAAATAATTGCTTAATTTAAATAAACGTATTAAATAAACGTATTAATTTAAATAAACGTATTCACAGTCGTATTCGAACAAATGTTTGTTTAATTTTAATACAATTTTTTCTCAGTGTACAATTATTAAACAGCAAACGTTCATTTATGAACAGAAGTCTTTTTCTCAGGGTGCTTCTCGCCTTTGATACAATTAGTCCTGCGCCAATCTCTCCTTGAAATCATCACGGCGATGTTGGGCGATTCCGCGCGATCTCAATGTCGACCGTCGTCAAGCGCCGACCGCTCATTTCCGATGAAATTGACATTCCGCCAAGCGATCCGCCGACCGCCGGCGGATTACAAAACGAGCGATCGGTTACAAAAGTGCACAAGTCAACGTGTCCAAGAACGAAAGGAAAAATGCAAGACGGACGCCACCGGTGGTTTTTCTCCGATTAATAGCAGAACACGGTATCGAGCTGTGCGCGCCGGCGATCACGTCGCTCGTACATGTATAAAGCCGGGGCCAAGAGAACAAGGGGAAAGTGCGCGCGAGACGCGTGGGGAAACGTGTCTGGCCTTTCGATCGGCTTTGGAAACGAATTTTCAAGTCTCAGCTCGCCGTGTTCGACGATTCGAGCCGCTCGCGATTTATTCGGCGCTCGCGCGCCGCGTTTTCAGCGTCAATTAACCCTTCGTTGCATGTTCTTTTCTAATGGATATAATTTTGTCAAACGGGTCGTTTCTCGGGGATTTTTAAGATCGCTGAATACAAATCAAGTGTGAGAAATATTAAATTTAAAATGGCGGATCCAATACGGCGCGCAAAATTTTCAAAATCAGCCGAATTCGCTTGAAATTTGTTATTTAAGGACTTTCGAGGACTTTGCTGATTACAAATTCGTTATCGAAAATTCGGAATGCCCGAGCTATGACGGATATATATAACAAGGTCCGGTTGACACCGGTCAGGTTGCTCGGTTCTCAAACGCAGTCAGCCTGTTTCATTTCTATAATTATGTTCGCCATATAAGACCCTGTCACTTTGAATTTTGTATTTTTCACATCGGATTCGTATTCAGCGATTTCAAAAATCCCCGAGTAACAAGTTTCCAGCAAATTCGATTGATTTTGAAAATCCCGTCCGCCATATTGGGTCCGCCATTTTGAATTTTGTATTTTTTACACCGGATTTGTATTTAGCGATCCAAAAAACCTCCGGGTAATGATTTTGAAGTATACGTTATTACTTAAAATTTCATGTAAACGGATTTATTCTTTAAAAACGACAGTTTTGTGTTCAGTATGTGCTTATTAATAACAAATTACTTATTTGAAATGACTCGGAAAGTTGATGTATCAGTTAGAGGAACATTTTAGCAGTCCAACAATGCCAAATATGCCAGAGAAATATGTGAAGAATTTAAATTATTGGAAAAACAAGCTTGGATGATAGGTGGCACTTTGGGAGGACCACTATCCAGCAAAAGGCCTAGCGTTGCCAGATGCGAAATGATTATTTCCAGGACACTTTTTAGCCGACGGTTGAAAAATAGGTTGTTAGAGAATTTTAGTTAAATTTAAGAGATAGAGGGGTAAGACGGCTAAGGGATGTCGCTGTGCACTCGCAATCAACAAATGCGTAAGTTAGGTACCAGCAGAGAAAAGTTTAGACATATTAAACCGTGCGATTGTATTTTTCACCACGCGAATGGCTTAGTCGACATCAATTTTCTTAGGCGGCACGTCAAAAAATTCTATCCTATAAATCGCGGTGTCCGCTCTCTTAGGTGTCTCTTTGGTACCAGTTAAAAACATGAACATTATGATTACGATTTTCTTGAAATTCTCATTTTCCGGGAGAGAAGATTTAAATTCCTGGACACGGGCAAGCTTCAGAATTTCGGGACATTCCCGGAAATCTCGGCCATCTGGCAACCCTATTAAGGTCGCCGCGGAATTAAAGAGACGCTAGAGCGCTTCATCGCGGATTCGCGGAGGCAAGCTCCCAAGTCGTGGGATCTAATCACAACGTGCGCATGTGTGTGAATTTGTGCTCATTTCCGTTGCAGGATGAACGGGGGCGACTGATGAGACGCAACATCGTTAGGTACGCCGTGCTCGCGTACGTCATCACGCTGCAAAGGATTTCGCTGCGCGTCAAGAGGCGTTTCCCGACTCTTCAGCATATGGTGGATGTAGGTCAGTGAGTTACATTTTCCAAATCTATGTTTAAGTAATAGCCGGTCAGTGCGAGGCCACGGCGCGTACATGCGCGGATACTTTAAACCGCGCGCGCTTTCTAATGTTAATCGCAGTTCGTCATCTACATTTGAAGTATATAGAAATGCGCTGTTTCGTAAGATATCCTCGAAAGCGCCGATTACTGCTCCCTTCTTCCTCCGCCCTCCCTCCCAACCGACTGTCTTCTATTATCGCAGTTGAGCCGCGAAGAAGGTGGATTTCGAATTCAAATATTTGCCGTTCCGTGCTGTAAAACGACCGGAGGCTCGAGATTTATTCGTGATTAATACTAATTGCGGTTAAAAGAGACCACTAAAATATGCGCGGACTGGACTATTATTTCCTCGATGATGGATCTATTATCCCTGGCCTTGACTTCCGCGGACTGTCGCGCGGCCGAGTAATATTTTATCACGAACGTCGACGCTCCTTCGAATCTCCGCGAGCGACGTTTCTCCACAGCGCCTCTTTACGCAACAATATTCTTTAGAATTCCGCAGAATTCGATCTCCGGGAATCAATCGACGGCCGATCGGTAAATCTCTCGCTAGCCTTAAGAGGACTAGAGGGTCAGATTGCTGAAAAATTGTGCTTGTTTTTGATAATATTTTATGGCGAACTAAATAAATGTGCAATAATGAAAATTTTAGATATATTTATACAATATATAAAGAGTAGAAAAATTCTGTTTAGTAACAAATCTGTTTAGTAACTCATATAAATATACGATATATATATATATATGTGTAACAGAAATATACTCTTCTTTTTTTTTCAAGTTGTCGTTTTTGCAGTAATATCTCGGCTCTCGATGGTCTGATCAGAGCTAATCTTAGCTAGAAATCTTGAGGAGGCTTATCATTATTATCCGGTGAACCACTACAAAAAAGAAATCGAACAAAAGTAACAAAATGGCAGCTATTATTAAGAAAAAATTAACATTTTTTTCTTTTTCCTCTTTTACAATGAAAAAATTAATATCTCGAAATGAAATATTTTTGAATGACGGAATTGTCCATAGTTCACCTGAGAGCCAGATGAACAAATATTATTGCTTTAAAATTTCAAATCGATACGAAGCTCAGTTTCGAAGAAATCATTGCAAAAAGTTGAACAATAAAATTTCGAGAAAAACGCGTTTAAAGTTTAAATGGACGTATATTTATATGAGTATTTGTTAATAAACAAAATTTTTCTACTCTTCATGTATTGTATAAATATATCTAAAATTTTCATTCTTGCACATTTATTCAATTCGTCACAAAATATTATCAAAAACAAGCACGGTTATTCAGCAATCTGACCCTCCAGTCCCCTTAAGGTAAACGTCCCAATGGCCGGACACGTCCCAGTATTCCAGATCATGAAAAGATATTTACTAATTATTTTAACAATAATGAATAAAAGTAATAATTATTGTACAATATACAATATACAAAAACTCCAATATTTGACGATTAGTTGGGGAAAAATATACCTAATTTGACACCTTTGTATTAAAATAAAAATTAATTAAATAAATATGCAGCTATGGTTTGGCAACATAATGGTCAATCGCTAATAAATTCATTAAGAGGTAGCATCTATATTTATATTATTTCCCGTTAGCACATGCTGATTTTCTAATTGCAGTCAGACAAATTAAATCCGAACATTGCGCCATAACCTATTTCAACTGGTATATTAATGCGCTTTTACAGATATGTACATTGGTTTAAATCATTTTTCTCTACTTAAAGGAATCTTAAGTTTTCGAAGAAATGTAAACATTTATTTAACCAAAAATATTCTTAATATTATATATCTTTTATGGCGACCTGCGTTTAAATGTCCGGTTTAATTCTTTAACGCCTACTGGTAACTGGCCTCTGGTATAGTTACCAGAAACGCATTTAAGAATCCATAACTTCATCAAAAAAGGAGATATTTTCGTTTTGTTTGCACCACTGTAAAGGTGAATTCTTCTTCTAAAAAATGGTACATTGTATGTAGATTCGGTTTAGTCTGTTTTTAGCTCAGTTTTAATGATAACATGTTTTGTCAAATTCTAAGTGGGCATAGTTAGCATCGTTACTGACATCTAGAAGTGCACTATAAATGAATAGATTGGTATCTGTTATAATTTTATACATTTGGAAGCTTTCTCAGATGCAAAATGTGAAATTAAAAGAATACAGAAATTCAAAATGGCGAATTTAATATGGTGGACATGAAAATCAAGAAATCAACCTATTTTCGTGAAACTTGGTGGCCTACAGTTTTTTATGCGGTGAAAAATGAAGGGACAATTGACTATCTAAATGGTGATCTATAAGACATTCTTCTGAAATAGGAAGCTTGACGTTCTTAATGATAAACTTCACTCACAAATATAGTAATAAAGTTTCAGCTGAAAAATGTCAAGCTGACTATCAGAGTTATGTCGTATAGATGACCCTTCATTTTTCTCTGTGTAGGTTGCTCATTTCGTATATGCTTTTAGGATCCAAGTCATATTTACCAGTAAACAAAAAACGAACGATAAAAAAAACTAATATAAAATTCTGATATTTTTTCTTGGTTATCACTACTTATAGTCTCAGTTGAAAAAAACTCAAATTTTATTTTTAAAACACTTATAAAAAAAGTCGGGCATTAAAGGGTTAAACTGAGACATTTACCTTCCAACATGTCCAACGTTTCATTCGCGAGCGCGCGGAAACCCTTCCAAAGTTCCGCGAGAGGGAACTTCGCAATTCGCTCTTTCGTTGCTTCGATATTCCCACGTATAATCAATATCGTCATTAGCGCGCGAACAATCGGTGTTACTTTCGACATGTCTTCCTGCTTAGGAATGCCGATGTGATGCAGTAATCGGCGCATGCGCGATCGGGCATAGCGCGTGCCTAGGCGCAGCCGCGCAATAGCACGGCGAACTTTTTATCATTCGCTCGTTATCGAGTCATTCTCACAACGGATGGAAATAATGGCCCTACCGGCATTGACAGAGGTAGCAGCAGCGGCCGCTTTCCTCCTTTGTGCCAGAACTCACGGCTTTCTTATCGCGGCACATGTCACCTTTCCATTAGTCGGCAGCGTGTATCCCCGGACAAAGCCGCTCACCACGTCATCCATAAACATTTAATATAATGTAGCTTCGCCGCGCGAACGCGATGCCAATGATGGCGCAAGGACAGAGCCTGCCGGCTCTGTCCTTACCGCCGTTGCCCGATCGCAACCGAGAGCCGGCAATATCGCCAGCGATATCGCGCGACAATATTCAGCGCCGCCGACTACTGCGACGCTTCGCTGTCATTCGCGCGTTGGCCGCCGCGCGAATTAATGGATGGCAAAGGCTGGGACAAAGAGGCGTCGCGTTGCAGCAGTTAGCGCATTAAACGGTACTTAACGTCGCAGACGTCGCGCAAGACGCGCGCACGTTCGCACGCGGCTGTGCAAACAACTGTGTGTTGCCGATAAAAGAGGCAAAGAAAGAAAACGGACGGACAGAAGAAGAGAGAGAAAAATAAGGAGGAAAATTAATCAATCGTCTAGCTCGGGAGAGCGATGATTCATATTCTGATTTCCCGTAACATAACGAACGTGCACATCGCCGTACGAACGACTTCAGCGCACTCCCTAAGGCGAGCTTAACTTAAGCTGATGCGATGAATGAAGTTCCGCCGAGCAATTTCATGTTCTATTGTTTGACATTCTACCGTTTGTTCATACGTCGAGATTGATCGATTTCGCGTTCTGCTTAAGCGACTGACTCGCAACGCTGATAGCGTGAACGTTGAATTCTCGTAAAAACACAGGACTCGCTTGCGAAACGAATCGTCCAACTAGATCGCTGACGACGAGTGAACAAAATCGTCGATTTTTATTACATAAGATTTATGTCTCCTGACGTTACGTTACGTTATCCTTACGTCGCTTCCTGCAGGCTGAGAGAACTTGTCTTCCCAAAGAAAAGCCTGTCGACGTCGACCTGTCGAGCTTTTTAGCATTCAGCTGCCAGAGCGGATGTTACTCCGCACCAGAAATAGCTCGCATTTTTCCGTTGAGCGTCCCGCGAATGTTCCATGAACATGAGGCTACCGTTCATACCTCGATCGGGGGACAAGCGACGGAATCCGTGGCAAGAACTCGCTCTTCCGTGGAAATCACTCCGTCGCTGCCGGTGTCGCCGCGAAAAGAAAGGTGCGTTTATGCTCGCGCTCTCGGAAAGACCGCTGTGAGACGTCGCATTCCTACGTGCGACAAAATTATTAGGAGGATGAATTAATTCTGGTCTTATTTTGTCAACTTTTCATCTTTATTTCAAAGAAACGGTTAAATTTACATCATCGGTTGAAATTACATCAGTCAAAACATTTTTCATCATTAGCTGTGACTTTTTCTCATCTTTCCGGCAACATGGCGACGATAGAACGATCTGTCTTTCGAAGCGATCCTCCAATCAGACACCCATTTTTGCACATCCTCGTAATTATTGAAGTGACGTGTATCTGCCAAAGCGTGTTGCATCGAACGGAACAGATGATAATCAAATGGTGCTAGGTCCGAAAAGTACGCTGGGTGCGGAAGGATTTCCTATTCAAGCTCCAACAATGTTTATTTAACTCTTTGAGGCACGTATTTTTCAGAAAATCCGAATCACATGAAAATTTATGTACGGGGGTTTCTGGGGTCGCTGATGACGAATCCGTTATCAGATTTTCGAAATTCAAGATGACGGATCCAAGATGGCGGACGCAAAAATGAAAAATCGCGATAACTTCGGTGACATCGGTGATTCGTAATCAGCAACCTTGAAAGCTAACCAAAGTACAATCTCAGCTAATCATAAAAATTTTATGATTCGCCATCTTGGAAAATAAATTTTAGAATTTGGACCTCAGATTCGTAATCAGCGAGCTCAAAAACTAACCAGAGTACAACTTTAGCTAATTTTATGTACATTCTATGGTTCGCCA